TCATCTTTGCAACACTTAACTTAATATTATGCTTGCAGGTCTCACCACCATCTTATAAAATTTTCCCTTAAGTTTGAGGGAGACTTTTCTATCACACAATAAGCCCGATGTATTCCTCCACTTCAACCATCCAACTTGAATTCTGCTGATAATATCCCCATCAATTTCACCATCACTTTTAATAATAGATCCAAGATATCTAAAACGTGTACTCTTATTAATGACTTGATCGCCCAAAATCACAATCCTCTCACTAGGTCTAATGCTACTAAAATTACACTCCATATATTCTATTTTAGATCTACTCAAGCGAAAACCTTTAGACTCTAAAGTTGACCTCCATAATTCAAGTTTATCTTCAACTTCATCTCTAGTCTTATCAACAAGAAGAATATCATCAGCAAAAAGCATACACTAAGGTACATCCTCATGCAAATGTCTAGTGAGAACATCCATGACTAAAGCAAAAAGATATGATTCTTAAAAATAGGAATTAACACACTTATTCTCCATTGATCTGACATTTTTTTAGTCTTCAAAATATTATTAAAAAGTTTAGTAAGCCAAGAAATTCCTTCATCTCCTAAGCATTTTCACATCTCTATTGAAATATCATCAGGTCCAACAGCTTTTCCATGCTTCATTTTCTTTAAAACCTCTTTAACTTCGGTTTTATTTATATGCCGATAAAAACAAAAAATCTTTATTTTCATTTAGGGTGATAAATTCACTAAAGTTAATCGTATTTTCACATTCTTCATTAAAAGTTTAGCAAAATACATAATTCACGTTTGTTATATATCATCTTCTAAGAAAAATATTTTTTTTATCTTCATCCTTAATAAACTTCACTTGAACTAAATCATTACTCTTATCTCTTTGTATGGCTAACTTATACATATATCTTTCTCCCTCCTTAATATCTAATTTATTATATAAATTATTAAAAGCTAAACTCTTTGCATCGCAAATAGCTTTCTTAGATTCCTTACGAGCATCTTTATAACTTTTTTCAATTATCAGAATTTTTACATCTAAACCAATTTTCATAACAAATCTTCTTATTTTTTATCTTTTGTTGCACATTTGAATTCCACCGCCAACTATTTTTACTATTATGAGCCTTTTTCTTCGAAACTCCAAGTACATCTTTTGCAATATTCTTAATATCATAGGCCACTTTTTTCCACATAATATTGACATCCTCATGCACAGACAGAATCTTAAGATCTAAAATTTTACTCTCATAAATACTTTTATTAATATTCTTTAAATGCTTTCATCTAATCATAGATAATTGTTTTACTTTATTTTTTATTTTTTACCCATTTATCTTAAAGTCCAAAACTAATAATCGATGTTAGGTACATAAATTTTCACTCGGAATAACTTTACAATTTTTGCAATCTAAACGATCTAATTTTCTTATAAGAAAATAATCAATCTGCATTTTACTATATCCATTTTTATAAGTGATAAGATGCTCATCTTTTTTCTTAAATAATATATTAGCTATTCAGAAATTATAAGCTAAAGAAAAATCTAATATAGTCTTACCACCTTCATTTGTCGTTCCAACCCCATGGCCACCATGGATGCTTTTAAAATCATCTACATCTCTACCAACATGTCCATTTAAATCTCCTTCAATAAAAACTCTTTCTTCAAGAAGTATATTTTGTATTAATTATTCTAAGTCATTACAAAATTTTAATTTTGAACTCATATCCAAACCTACTTGAGGAGCATAAGCACTTATAATATTAACAATATTAGCATCAACAACAATCTTTAAAGTTATAATTTTATCTCCAATTTTGTTAATTTTTATAACATTATCCTTCAAACTCTTATCTATAATCACACCTACACCATTTCTAGTATGACTCATACCTAAATATCATAGTTTATATCCTAAACTATTAATTTCCTTAGCTTTCTCTCCAACCCATTTAGTTTCATGAATGCACAGAATATTTAGCTTCTTATGAATAATAAAATCTATTAATTCCATTAATTTTCCTATAAGGGAGCCTATATTCCAAGTTCTTATCCTAATTTTAGTTTCATGGACTAACTTCTTTGCCCACATCCATGCTTGATGTGAGAACCCTTGCCAATTTAACACTGCAACCGGGCGCAGGTGCAGTGGCCATTGCACACTAGACATTGTATTCAGGTCATATAACGCGTCACTTCCAAGGGACGCCCTAGCATTAACACAATTTTTTAAAGGATTCGTGTCAAGATTATTCGACAAATTTTACACTGGCTGTCGACTACCTAACGTAACCCTCCACTTTTCTCATCCAAGACTTGGGACTTGGCAACGGCAGTGTTTATCTTAAAAAATAAGGGTAAAAATGAGAAATGCAAAATTAAATCAAAATACAATTAATGAACTAAGATAAAAACGGAGTGATCTCAACCGTTGATCTTCGTCTTTTCCATTGAGTAACTTCCACTGTTATCCACCGTTGGTGGGGGAAAATTTGAAAATCAAAATTAAAATTAAATGAGAAAAAAGGGGTTGGTTAATTAAATCCCATAATTGGATATTCAATTAAGGAATTAAATAACTAGGGGGGGGAGGGGCCGACAACATTAAGAGGAGCTTGGGAGTTTATAGAGAGAGATTTAAATGCTTGCCAAGTGAGGAACCTTATATTAGGGAGAAATATTTAAATCAAATTCATTGAATTTAAAATATGTTTGATTTGAATACTTTCCTAAAATAAGATAACTAAATTAGGGAAAGGATTTGAAATTTAAATACATTTGAATTTAAATTCAAATGCTTTCCATATTAAAACACAACCACAATAAGAAATAAGGCTATCAAGCAAGATTGACTCCAATCAAGAGCAAAAGGGGAAGGGGCGGCAGGTAGAGAGAGATGGGGCCAGTTATGGGAGGAAAGGAAAATGAAATTAATCAAGTCTTCAATTAAGGGAGAAATGATTTAATTAAATACAATTTTAAATTGATTGGAATTTGATTTGAAAAACTTTCCAAAAATAGATCTAGTAATTTAGGAAAGGTTTTGAATTTCAAACTAATTGTATTTGAATTCAAAATTCTTTTCAAATTATCTTCAACCTAATTTAGGAAAACGAAGAGGAATGAAAGAGGGAAGAGGCAAGGGGTGAGGTGGTCGGCTAGCTATGGAGGTGGAGGGGTTTATGGCTGATATGGATCAAGTGGAGGAGGCTTGTGGCTTTGGAGGGGTTTGTGGGAGAATAGACTGGTGGTAAATGGGGGATTTTGGCCGGCGGTTAAGGGAGGAGGAGAAAAGGATTTAGGAAAAGAAAGATACAACAGTGAGCCCAGATACATCCTGCAGCTGACGGGTAATACATTGCCCTTCTCCAAGGGGCTTCAAGCCACAAGCCCAAACCCATCCTGCGGCTGGTGGAAGCTCCGACCTTGGGCTTACATAAGACAAGACTCTTAAATAAGGTTAAAAATGAGAAATGCAAAATTAAGTTAAAATACAATTAATAAACTAAGAAAAAAAAGGAGCGATCTCGGTCGTTGATCTTCATTCCTTCCATTGAGTAACTTCCACCGTTGGATGTCTGGATCAGTTTCCTATCAATATCCTCTTATAATAAAAGCACTTTTTGATCTTTATCCTTAATACACTTCAGTTGAATTAAATTCTTACTACTCTTATCTCTTTGTTTAGCTAACTTATGCATATATCTTTCGTCCTCAGTATCGAATCTATTATATAAATCATTAACAGCTAAAATCTTTACATTGCAAATTGTTTTCTTAGACTCATTACGGACATCTTTATATATTTCTCAATTATCATAATTTTCATAACGAAATAAATTTTTATAACAAATCTTCTTATTTTTTTATCTTTTCTTGCACATTTTGATTCCACCACCAACTATTTTTACTATTAGTAGCTTTCTCTTTTGATACTCCAAGCACATATTTTGCAACATTCTTAATAACATTAACTATTTCTTCCTACATAACATTAACATCCTCATGCATAGACAAAATTTTAAGATCTAGAATCTTACTCTCAAAAATAATTTTGTTAGTATTCTTTAAATGCCCCATCTAATCCTAAAACAATGATTTACTTTATTTTTAATATTATGCTCTTTCATATTAAAGTCCAAAACTAATAAGTGATGTTGGGTACATAAACTTTCAGTCGAAATAACTTTACAATCTTTGCAATCAATACGATCTATTTTTCTTATAAAAAAATAATCAATCTGAGTTTTACTACAACCATTCTTATAAGTTATGAGATGCTCATATTTGTTCTTAAATAAGATATTAAGATATTAGCAATTACAAAATCATAAGCTAAAAAAAAATCTAATATATTATCTTATCACATTCATTAGTTGCTCCAAAATTATAGCCACCATGAATGCTTTTAAAATAATCTACCTCTCCACCAACATGCCTATTTAAATCTTCTCCAATAAAAAACTTTTTTTTCGAGATATATCTTTTGTATTAGTTCTTCTAGGTCATTCCAAAATTTTAATTTTAAACACATATACAAACCTATTGGAGGAGTATAAATAACTATAATATGAATAATATAGTATCAACAATAATCTTTAAAGCTATAATTCTATCTCCAATTATATTAATTTTTACAACATTATTCTTTTAAACTCATCTATAATCACACTTACACCATTTCTAATATGACTTCTATCAGAATATCATAATTTAAATCCTAAACTATCAATCTCCTTAGCCTTCTCTCCAACCTATTTAGTTTCCTGAATGCAAAGAATATTAACCTTCCTATAGATCATAATATCTATTAATTCCCTTACTCTGATTGTAAGAGAACCTATATTCCAAATTTCTATCCTAATTTTAGGATCATGGACTAGCTTCTTTGTCCACATCCGTCTATGATGTGAGAACCCTTGCCTAATTAACACTGCACGTGGGCGCCAATGTTATTGTTGTTGTTGTAGAGCCTCAAGCATATGTAGGTTGGTTCATACCTTAAGTAGATTTTCAGCTGAGACACTGTCAACCAAATCTGAAGGGTGAACCTGCATACAAACAGGTTTAAATGCCTTAACTTGATATTTGGTTACGAAGGAATCAGAAATGGGGCAATTTAATAATGAACAAACCTCACATGGAATAATAGAGTCTCTAAAAGAAGACGCGATTCCATCCTTAGGAGGCCAAACTCCTGAAGCTGGGAATAGTTGTGGACAGAGGTAGTTGAGCCTTGCTGAAATTCTTGCACTTGATTTAAGGATAGGAATTTTCATATTTTTCCTAGAAAACATGCAACTTGTAAGAGATTTAGATATATTATCATCTTGAACAAAACAGATGAGTTCAAAGGGGTAATCACATTCCTATTTTGAAGTTTCCTGAAGAGTAACACTATTTAATACTCAAGTCCACCAGCAGACAACATTTTCAGAAAGCCATAAATAAACCATATATAGACCTTCGTATAATAACAAGCTCAAAACAGGCCAGACTTCCACAACTTATTTAATTAAATGACTTGACATGAAATAACATAACAAGCAGGCGACTATAAAGAGAACAGCTTGCATTCCATCAAACATTAACATGAATTGCCTAATTTTTCTTTAGCTTACTGATCAAAGAAAGGATGATGGAAGCTAAGTCACCCTGCTATGCTTGTTGAGAGAGGGAGAGAGAATTCCAAAGAGAAAGAGGAGAATGTTAAGTAAAATGAAAACGGGAAGAGATCTTAGCTGTTAAGCTAAAGAAAAATTATGGCGAGTACAGCTCCTCATTTCTCATTTTTTGATATGATTCCTCATGGATGCTAAAATTCCACAAATTTGACATCAATGTGATAATATCGAAATTCTATTGTGCATTTTCTACCACGAACAATGCAGATCACCATCATGATCTTTAACAATTATGCCACAAGGTGAGTATTTTCCTATTTTGATAGGTTTTGTATATTTAGACATGGTTTTACGTAAGAGATCAAATAAACATGTATAATTAGCTCTAAGTTATCAGAATCCAACTTTGCAATGAAAAAAAAAACCATTTGAAGCCTCAGTAGCCCGCTAACTCAATTCAAGGAAAATAGTAACCAAGAGATGGGATGTGCAAATCTTTTCATTTATTCCACATCTAGCCCTTGTAAAAAGAATGCATTCAATCAAGGTGATGAGCTACTTTTGAAACATTCTATGAAACAGCAATAGACACATGACAAGATTAATACATGACACGGAAAATTCAGAAGAGTGCACCACAGAAGACATTAATTCATGTAATTCTCTTTATTAGTAGTGTTCATGTATGTTTAAGAATGAAAAGCAATAGGCTAGTAACATTTTGAAAAATTAAAAAAAAAAAAAAGTATGTTTATCATACATGAAATTACAAAACATAAGACTATGTCAAATGCAACTAATTTTAAGAGTGGCCAAGGGAGAAACAGAATAACAAAAAATAAACTAAAATTAGTTAGCAATTGGGTAGCATTTGACCTTGTCCTATTTTGAATAATAGTAGCCTGAACTATTGTTCTGTTTGTGTCCAACACATGTCTATGCCAAAATCAAAACTTGTTAAAAGAATACCCTATGTCTAAGTCATATCCAAATCTAGTTTTAAGGATAACCTGGAGCGTCTGACTATCTTAGAAACATGATGACCTCTAGAAGCATAGGCAATATTGAAGTGTCAAAATAAATAAATAAATAAAACAAATTTATGGTTCAAAATTTTAAATATATAGATTTGAATGGTATGGGCGTAAATATCCCAAAAAAGCCCGAGCAAATCAAGTTATAACAAATGCTACCAAAACTTACATCTCATGCCCTGCCATGATGTGTTGTGCTTTTCCAAACCTCTTCATCCATATTTGATAATCAGCTTTCTTTGTTACAGAAGCTGGTCCAAGGTGAATTACACAATTCACTAATTTAATGCCATCTCTTTGACAATCCGGTGAATCTACATAGTAAGAATTGAGAGATTGTGTAGAGAACAATTCCTTCATATGTGATGGCGTAGGACAGTCTACAAGAAGGACTACTGGACCAGGAATTGAAGGACCTAAAACATCGCTAGAATGAACCTGTATCATAGAAAAATAAAATGACACCAGTTTCCAAATGATGTCAGAAAATTAAATATAAATTTTATAAGAATTTACTAAAGTATATCCTTACATCTTGAAAAGTACATTCACATACTAGAGTTTTTTTTTTTTTGAATGAACATCCTTATATTGGACTATCAATAGAGGTCGCTATGATGATCAGTACAGGAATATGGGGCAATGGACCGGGCACACTCATGAAAGAGGAGGTAAAAGTCTGCAATTAAACCCAAAACTACCATAAAAATAACAATTCTATGAACCTACCATAATGTTAAAATGGTCTGACATAACCGAGTTCCCAAGCTGTAATTCTCGATATTTTGGTCCAGGTTTCAACCCAAGGGATGCAGCTTTTTCTGGATCAAATTTTCCCTTAATCTCAGGTAATTCGCAAGTGTAGACCACCGCAACATCACCAGGTTTCATAGAGGAGTCTGTTTTACCACATAAACCAGACAAGCATGGTGTAAGATGAAACAATGATTAAACATAAGGTGTGCACGAGCAATAAAGTCAAGTTAGAACATCGTAAGTAACAGCTGTAAAAGCATCTTTAAACCTCCAGAACAGTTTGGCCTCAAGGGAATTGCTGATAAACGGACAACCTCATCATCTATAAGAATAATCGGATCAACACAACAATGTATTGAATAATCCAAAACTGCAACTTCATTAGCGGTTTGCATTTCCCCAAAACTGCGTGTGTGCACCATGGCAGCATTTGGAATAAATGAACGCATGGCATCAACAAGATATTTAAGGTCAGAAGGACCCCATATATTAACCTGTATCACAACTAAAGCGGATAAAAGTTGCAGTTGTAAGACAGGCAAAAATATCGCATGATACTGTACACATTGTTGATAGAATATAAAGTTGATAGACTTACTGACATTCCTTCCTCGCCTATCCCAGCTAGAGTAAGCAGAAGACCTGTTACAAGCAAGAGATAAAAAACCATTAACTACATGCAATCATGGAAATTGTCACTTATCATCCTACTGAAACTTTCACACAGGAAAATAATCAGGCATTAGTCCAGGCGAAGATATTTTAAAATAGTGTTTCACACTATAAAAATTATCATTTTTTCCCCTTCTGTTTTTTGCTCTGGTGGTGCTCCTGCTTTTGAAGGGAGGTGGGGATACCATAAGCACTAACCTGGAAGACCTCCTGCGGTTTCTGATGACACTCGAGTCAAGAATATATGGTCAACCTAAAGAAAGAGGAACATAATTACTGAAAATATGTTAAAAGCTAAAACTTTGAATAATGAAATAGATGGAGCGTTTTAAGAGAAAAAAATTTCACCATATTAACAAGAAAAAAAGCACCAAGAACCTATGGTACAAAGAAAAAAAAATTGTATTGAGTGCATTGAGCTCCCACCAATGCGGGGCATAGGGAGGATTGATGCACATATTCTTATCCCTGCATTTCCAAAGAGACAATTTTCATGATTTAAAACATGACCTCAAGATGATAATTTTCTATCCTGCACTTATGACATTAGGCAGAAATTTTCCAGTACATGGCTTTAAAATTTGTTGACGCGGGGTAACTAACTTGTATGTCCAAAATACATCGGAGTTAGAAATAATCCACATATTCAATAGACCAGAATCTAATTGTTCTATCTATTATATTTGTCCATTGTTCTATTTCATTAATGAAAACAATTTAATCTTCAAGTACAAGTATTTTTCAAGCCATATAAATAGCATAATGAAATAAGTTGAGAAAATTATGAATCGAAAAAATCAGTAGAAACTCATAACATTATCATATCAATAGATCAGAAAAGAGTAAAGCTTCTTCATATCGCAAATCACAGTACCTTTGATAACTTGATTTTGTGCTCTGTGCAGAAACGTTGCAATCCCTAAAGCATGAATAAAACAATTTGTGACTAATTATTCAGTAGGACAAATGTCAAAAATAAATCATAAAAAAACATAAGACTAGAACATTACGAAAGCTCCTTCGAGAAAAACATTAGCAGATCCAAGACCTAGTATACATGGCTGTCTTTTTTTTATTTTCCATGTAATCATGATGTAAAACAATTGTTTTTATGAATGAAAATTTCACTTATGGAAGTAAAATAACTAACTCAGACTAAGAAGCTTGAATATGTGTGGAATTATTTGTAGACAATTCATTTTTATCATTTATTTCAAATTAATCCATCTTCAAATCTCTAAAATCTTTTTCTCTGTGCTTAAATTGATTTGTTCACAGTTTGGACAACTAATTGCTGATTGACAACAAAGCCATATTTGGTGATCACAGCAAACAACATAGACATATTTGGCGATCTATATCAAACAACATATTCTAGAAATAGCACGATGTAAGCAATCTCATCTCCCTTTAGTTTATGCTTTCTAAGGTTTAGGTGGTTTTTCACGCATCTACATCATCTGATTTTTAATTGTCTTTGACCATAGATTTTAAGCATGTATTTGTATAATATATTGTTGACCTCACTTTTGGTGAGCTCTGACACTTTACCCTTCCCTTAGGCTAGAAGCTAGATTTTCCTACCTTAGAGCAGAAATCGCCTCTAGGATTCATTTTAGGTGGACATCCACCAACCAATTCAGCAAACTGGGCTAAAATAGATGGCCTATATAGGTCGACTCAAGCTTATCCGATGAATTCACACCTGGTCTCCTAGTCAATTCAACTGTAATCCCATTAAGTATAAGATCAATTGAAGCTTATCAAACTGACTGAAACTTTTATCAATTTGGTTTGATTATAACTGATTGTATTTGAGCCAAATCAAATTCAAAAAATAAACATAAGTATATATGAATACATTTATATGTATAAATTTTTATTTAAAAAAAAATGAATTAAACTAAAGTACATTAATTAAAGTTAATTAATTAAGAATGAATTAGATCATGATGAGCTAATTCAAATATGGTAAATCAACTTCAATTAAATCTAATTAAAACCAAGAATTAAAATTGCGCAATCGGGTATTAAGGTATTTTTTGTTCATGAGGAGAGGCGTAAGCCTCGAAGTGTTTTGAGGCGTAAGCCTCAAAATAAAAAAAAGTGTTACTTCAAAATAAAAGTTAAAAGAAAATTTTTATATAATAACCAAATAATATGTTAGACGGATAATATTAACTTTCTGCTAAACTATGAAGTAACAAATTGTCATACATATGAAACAAAAAATACTCAATACATAAAGTGACAAATGATAAATTACATGAAATATAATTAAAATACAAATATTACAAGAGCAAAATAATATTAAATACATGAATTGCATAAAAGTATCATATAACATCAAGTTCAACTCTAAATTTATTTTTTTTAGTTCCTTGCTCATCCACATTTAATTCATAAAGAAAGCTTAAATAGTTGGCAAAAACTTAAAATCTATATATATTATTGTCATCACTGAGGGAATCTTTATTTGAGTCATCGTCATGAGTCAAGACAAATTCGTCTCTCCCTGTCTCATCCTGTGAAGTCGAATGACTTACAATCTGCTTCATTCATCTTCCTCTTTCATAATTATGTTTATTAACATAAAGATAAGATAATACTCAAAAAAATTTAGAGGTGTTGTTCGTATCCAGCTTTCAAGTGATTCCTAATGGCGGCAACGACGGTGGTGGCTGCGGAGAAAATGGCGGGATGGAGATCGAGAAAGTTGACCTGAAGTTATTGCGGCTCTAGGGTACATGAATGTGTGATTAGTTACGAGCTTTAGTTTAAGATTTAGATAAATTTTAATAAAAAAATATAATAGGGTGAGGCATAAGCCTCATGCCAGGGATGTGAGACATGCCTCCAGGCGGTCCTAAGCCAAGCTGAGGAGCAAGCCTCGATGCATTTTTCACTGTAATTGCGCTAAGGATGGCCTCAAGGCGAGCTTCATATTGCGCAATTTTAAACAATCATTAAAACTAAATTCACTAGAATCCATTTAGAATTAAACACAACTTAATTCAATTGGATCAATCAGGTTTATCATTTTCAAAAGTAGGATTTAATCAATTCATTATAATCACCCAAAATCCTTCTAAAAATTTGATCAAGCAATTAAAACAAAAGGGGTAGACAGGCACAACAGCTTGCTACCCTCTTCTCCCACGTTATCTGCCTTCGTCAGCTTATTCAGGCCCTCAAGGGCAGTGCCAATGTTCTACTAATCATTAGATCAAGGGTTATAAGGGTTAGGAACATAATCAGCCAATTCCCTCCCTGAACTTTTGCTACAGTTTTGCTAAAACGGGACATGATGTTCCGTTCATTCATCCTTGGCAAGAGAGGCATGGGTTCTTCCTCTTTTTGCTCATTCACCCTTGACTGAAGCATGAAAGGAGAGGGACCGTGGCTTTTCATTTTTTCGGGCATACAAGAGGTGAGAGCGAGAGAGTGGGAGATTGTGGAAACAAAAGAAGGGATGGGTGGGTATTCTCTTCACATTCAGCTCTTTTTTCTGATTTCTTGTGAGCAGCTAGTAGTGAAAAAGTTCTTCTCAACTTTAGCCCGTGGTTGCAATTTAGGAAATTGAAAAGAGAGTTTGTTTGATTAATCTCCTCTTAAGCTTATTAACATCCTTCCATCAAGTTTAAAACAATTTCTTGTTTTGGGGCTTGTTCCTTCTTGCTCTGTTCTTTATTTTTTTAACAAAAAAAAAGTGGATCAATAAACAATTGAGTTGTAGGTTGAATGATATCTTCCAATATCACCAAAACTTCAAGGGTGACAGCCATTTTCTTGAGTCTCTTTGAAAAAACAAATATATGATGGTCATTTGAAGCTGTTACATATAAGTTTTATTTATTGACTTCTTCATTATGAGGCTTTTAAATGTTCCTAGTGTTTATTCATCCTCTCTTTAATATCCAAATGTGGAACACCTTTATTAACATCCTTTCATCCTAAACATGTATATGAACATTTCTATGAAATGAGGAGAAAAAGCTATGCTAAAAGTGGGTTGAAAGTAATGTATTGTGATTTGATATGATAATGCTGAAATGTAATATGTTTTGAAATGATTGATATGATTGATATTTACTAAAATGCGATACTGATCTGACTGAACTGATATGCTGATTGGTATCAGATATGTGAAATAATAACCCCCACGTGATAACCTCAAGATTCACTGATTCATTGATGGGAGTCATAAAGAACTGGAGAAAGATGGAGTTATAAAAAGTTGGGGCTATTGATTCATGTGATTCAAGGGGAGTTATAAAGAATATATTGATTGAGAGTCATAAGGGGCGACTGATTAAGAGTCATAAATGCAAGAGAAAAATACCCTCACTGAATATAGAATACTGATACTGATTATTGATTACTGACAGCTGACACTAACTATTGTTACTGGTATTGTACAGACATTGACCTTACGAACACTAATTTCTATTATTGCTTACTATTACTGAATGCGAATACTAATACTACTATATAGTTGTATAATTGATAGGCTGACGAAAATGATTAAATGATACGTCTGAGTGAAGATGATTGAATGATAAAGACAAAAACGAGCTGATAGATTGATACATGTGATCGATACATAAACATATATTGATTCATAACATACATTTTTTTTTTTTTGCCTTGCATTGATTTTAGTTATATTATTTTAGTGTTTTCCTAGCCTATTATGCTCATTTTGTACTTTCTATATGTTTACAAGAAAGGGTAGGGACCATGTAGCATAAGGCATTGGATGGCATGCATAATTTTCTTTTTGCATTTTTAGTTTAGTTTTCTTTCGGTTCATCTAGGTTATGTATATTCTTTTGTAGCCTAGAAGGCTATTATACATATTGTTTTGGACTCTTGATGAAAAATATAAATATTGATTATAATAATGTGAATTATGTTTTTTCATTATTTATATTTTCTTAATACAATTAATTAGCTCTGAATATCAAATTGATCTAGTTGTAAATGACTATTGGTTGTTATTGAAAAATAAATAAATGAAAAGAGAAAAAGAAACAAAATTCTTTCATGTTAGATCCCGGGGCGTGAAACCCTCTTTGGTTTAAAGTGATTTAATCAGGTTTTCTGTAAACCAGTTCTCCTAGAGATTCATTTTTCCGGTAAGGGCTTTGTATTATTGCACGGAGAACTTTGGATCCAACAACAACAAACAAATGTAGGCATGCAGAACTACACCCATAACTTAGGAATGACCAGAATGAACAATAATTTAGGCTGGCATGCATCAATTCCAAATGAATGTCTAATGCCTAGAAGGCATATTTTCCTTTTTTTCTATTTGGAAAAGAGAATATACTCACGTTACAACAGAGATGGCCAAAAAATAGCAAAACAAGAAAAAGAAACTAATTTAACTTTGCAAGCATACCTCCCCAGCATTAAATATAAACCTCTGCTTGTCAAAAAATAAAAACACGGACGGTGAGGTGTCCTGCGTGTCCATTCCTGTGCCCAAAATCTGCCAAAAAAAAATATAAGTAAGAAGGAACACATCAAGCACATTGTAGCAAGGAAAATGAACTTCTCAAAACAAAAGCGACAACGACAACATAAATATGCTTCAGACGTAATAAATTATACGGATAAGAAGTTTGCTTACACCTCCCCGTTCACCAAGTTAGAATGTAACTAAAAAAAATTAACAGTTAAACTCCACAGAAAGAGATTAAAACACTTTTCTTCCAGAAATCTTAAACAACTTTTAACTATCAACGAACGTCAAATACGTAAACAAAACCAAAACAATAAACTGATTTCGTTCCTAGAAAGAAAAAAATCTCCAAAATGTATGAAACCTCTAAGTCAATAACCGATGCAAAAAACAAAAATTCACTTTACAGAAATCCCGATAAAAAGAAAACGCTCACCTGTACATAACAAATGGTGTTTACAGGGTTAAGTTTTCGACTCTTGAGCTGGAGAGTCCTAGGCCTGTCACTCTTATCCCTCCCTTCCGCCCGTTTTTTGTTGAATCCCACCAACCCTTCCTCCATTTCACGCACCGGAGGGGAGTCTCTGTCCTTGCTCCTCTCCTCTCTCAGCGTACTGTTTCCCCTCCTGTGATGAAAATACCCGCCACCGCTGGCTGGCCTTCTTGCTCTTCGACCGGAATACGAGAGCACTGTGAGCGTAGAGAAGTGAGAATTCAGTAAAACCCTAGGCTTGGAGAGGAGGGACGAAGAAAAGGAGAATCTAAATAAGGGATTTGGGCAAAGAAAAGAGGAATAAGAGCAGAGGAGTCTCAGGTTGGAGATTTGTGACATTGACTTCGGATTTCCTTGCAGGTTTTAAAGGTTTTCGAGGGTTTTAATTTGAGTCGCCGACTGGAACGGAATAGCTGATTGGGTTCGCGCTTGCCGTGCAGGTAGATTGGCTTAACGTGGCCCGCCCATATCAGCACCAATTATATGCGGAAAATTTAATTGGGGGTTTATTATTATTATTATTAAAATTTAGACTAATTAAGATAAATTTTTACTCATATTATATATGTAAGACATGAATTTAAGACTTCTTGATTGATAGTTAAAGTTTCCAACCAATAGATCAAGATGAGATGCATTAATTGGGGGATTTACATGTGATATATCATCAAAAAATTATATTGATCGGGCATGAATCTCAAGGCAAAATCAGGTTGGAAACTTCCGAAATTAAAATTGGAATCATCCAAACTCCAATTTTAGCAAATTTATAGTTGAACTGAGCGTCTCGAGAAACGAATCTAATGACACCAAATCCAACCCAAACCGAACCCAAACGGGTCCAAATCAACGGTTAGAAGAGTTGTTGGAAGGTTCAAACCACAATTTGGATTATTGAACGGTTTCCAAACATAACATTCTTATAGTAGAATCGAGCGGCTCGACGATACAAATCCAACAAGCCCAAGATCACCGAATTCCGACATCACTAAGGCATTCAAATGTCCATCAAATGGTCCATGATCAAGGAATTCAACATCGATCGTCCATCCAAACGCTCCTCATTAACCCTTGATCTCTCACCTATTTACGGGCCATGCCACTCCAGAAATCTATAAATAGATCCCACATTTCTATTGAAAAGGGGCTCCAAGCAAGAGAGCAAGAGAGCGATCGAAGATCACTCTTGCCTCCTCGCTCCTCCTCGACTACCGCCAGAGTTCCATCGAACCACCGCCTGAGTTATGCCGGACCACCACTTGAGGACCTCACCTCCGTCATACCACCGCCTAATGTCGTTGCTCCACCAGACCACCAATTGAGGCCCTCACCTCCACCGAACCACCGCCTGACATCGTTGCTCTGCCAGACCACCACTTAAGGCCCTCATCTCCGCTGGACCATTGTCTGACGTCGTTGCTCCATCGAACCACCACTTGAGGCTCTCGCCTCCACCGGACCACAGCAAGACGTCGTTGCTCCGCCAGACCACCATTTGAGGCCCTCGCCTCCACCGGACCACCGCCTAATGCTGTTACTCCGCCGAAACAATACTTGAGGCCCTCACCTCCGCCGAAACACTACCTAATGTTGTTGCTTCATCGGACCACCACTTGAGACCCTCAACTTCGACGGACAACTGCCTGACGTTGTTGCTCCACCGAACCACCACTTGAGGCCCTCACCTCCGCCAGACCATCGTATGACATCGTTGCTCCGTCGAACCACCACTTGAGGCCCTCGCCTCCGCCGGACCACTACCTAATGTCGTTTCTCCGCTGGACCAGCACTTAAGGCCCTCACCTCCAGACCACCACTTCAAGCCCTCACCTCCGCCGGCCCATCGCTTAACATCGTTGCTCCGCCGGACCACCACTTGATGCCCTCACCTCCATTGGACCACCGCCTGACGTCGTTGCTCTACCAGACCACAACTTGAGGCACTCACCTCCGTCGGACCACCGCCTGACGTCGTTGCTCCGCCAGACTACTAATTGAGGCCCTCACCTCCGCCAAACTTCTCCCGGACTACCACTTGAGGTCCGGACTTCTGCCGGACCACCACTTGACGCCTCAATTTATGTCGGACCACCACCTAACACCCAAACTTTTGTCAGACTACCACCTAAGGCCCGAGCTTCTGCCTAACCACGACTTGACGCTTGGACTTTTGTATGACCATCACCTGAGGCCCTGACCTTTGCCGGAACACCACCTGAGGCCCGTACTTCTGTTATGCCACCACTTGATGCCCAGAGTTCTACCAGAATACTCCCCTACTACAACAATTTTTATGTCCCTGATCTCTGATCAACTACGATCTTTCGAACACTTATTTCCTGCCGACTATGGTCCTTCCAACATCAATTGTCTACTATGATCCTTCTGACCTACACCACCAGACAATGATCTTTTTGACCCGGCCTCCTACCTACTATGATCTTTTCAACCTCTATCCTATCAACCATAGTCCTGCCAACCAAACAAACATGTCTATGTTGATTATTGTAACTCCTAACATATAATGAACTCTATATGATGTATATTTGTGACATTAAGCCAATGCCTTCTTCCTAGGAAGGGTCTCATTTGTAATCAACTACAATTACTAGTTAATTCATTCAAATTGGACCAAGCCCCATAGTTTTTTCCCCTTTTTAGGGGTTTATATGTAAAAACTCTAGTGTCTCTTATGAATGTTACACCCTCTCTCTTATCTGCTTATGTGCATGATCTTTTTGCAATGCTAAGACGTTAAACTTCATATTTCTCTACCGCCGCGAATATTCCAGGATGCAACAGCATGTATAGTATTTGAAATTTTTTTATTCATATATGTGTTTGTTCTATGGTTGGGCTGCTGGATCTTTTCCAAGTACTTTTGGATGATATTTATGTGTGAGTAATTTTTTGGGTTGGACAATAATGATGAAGCAAACTTCCTTTTCCTTGTGCTTCCCTAGAAAGCATGGGCTTTAATTTGGCAACCGTGGAAGCTTGTCTTGGTTTTTGTTTGTTTTGTTGGTTGGTTTTTTTAATAGTTGAGTCCTTTCCCTTATCTGTTTGCTGCTTTCAATGGATGACACATTGCCTAAGCAACCAGGTGGCGCTCAATTTTAGTTGGTTTTTTTTTTATGTAGGAACTCTTTGTTGCCTCTTGAGTCTGGTGGGCTTTTATGCCTTCCTTTTTTTATCTTTTCAACTAGCTATTTATTTTTTTGAGGTTTTAGTTTTTCAACTTTACACCTTGGTGCTCCATAATATGTAATTTTCTCTTTTTTGGTCATGTTCTTTTGGGATACCTTTGTGCATCTCCCCTTTAATAATGAATATGTGCTCACTCAAAATATTCTTTAAAAAAACAAGAAGAAATTTTATTATTTATATATTTTGCATCATAAATTTTGGTATTTATTTATATCACATTTAAAACATCTGAAATATCTCAAAAAGATTGTTCTTCTCTCCCTATTAATGATGTTGCTTATTATTACGAAATTTTGTATTTCCTCCCTCCTAATAAAAATTATATCCAAAAATGCCCAAATTTTCTCACTCATGGGTGAACGAGGAAAAATTACTACGTGCGGACTTTGGACGCCGTTCGGAATTCAATCACGTGAAGACACATAGATTTTTTCCTCTCTTGTATATAGGTGTGTACAAAAGAGAGAAAATTTATATGACTTCACGTGATTGGAGTCTGGACAAAAAGTTGTGTCTGAACTCAGCACGTAATAATTTCTAGAACTCAAGGGCTCCCCTTTTCTCTCCAACACGCTCACTGCCTTTATTCTCCATTATACATTGAATAACTCTCTGATGGCTATAGTTGCCTAGCTTGTGCCAAAGTACTCTCCTTGTGGGTGAACTCACCTCAGGCCTTACCCACCTGCAAGTATTTTATCTAGAGAACCAACTTCTGCAATCAAAAGAGAGGCACTGGTGGAGTAATTGGTAGTGTTTGGCCCATCAAAAACAATTCATACAATACCAATTGTGTCTATAAAGTCCTCAAAGTTCATGTAACAATTGAATATTGTCATAATCAGACCCACAATATCCAATTTAACAATGAATGTATTGAGAGTTCTTTTTATATTGAATGCGTAGATAGTTCTTGCTCATATCCATTCAAACTAACTATAATTATATACACTCAAGGAGATGTGTGATATATTTATAACTATTTCTACCTTTATCTACTTGAGCAAACTATATTTATTGGTTGGTTGAAGTCAAATCATCATTTGCCACTTCATTTTGTTTAAAATAAGTTTGAGTTGCTTGACGACATCAATGAGCACCTAAGACCATCAAATATATTGCCCTTACAACTTACAACATAAAAGATGCACTTTGTCATAGAGGTGCAAACCATGGAACGGGACTCTATCGACATCATCGAAGTAAAACAGAAAATAATTTTGTTTAATTTAAATGAACAGACGAATTAGATCGTGTAATGTTTGATATAAAACATTCCAAAAGAATAGTTTCAGAGGATGCAGTCCTAAGAAATTTTTGAGTCGAAACTGGAAGGGGAACGTGAAATGACTTTGGGTTGAACTTTTGTATATTAAACTTATGATGGTGCTTTGAATTGTGATTGTACCAATGGTGGCTGTCTTTCTTAGGGGATTTAGCTACTTAAATGTATTTGGAATTATTGATGCTATTAAGGGATTTCGAATTTTTATTTTAAAGGATGATGAAGTGTTATGTTTTAATACTTCTGATAGAGTATTTGTACTTTTTGGTTACTAAGGTATTATGTTCTTTTTTGTTCTTACCAAAAGCATGTCCCAGCTAATGAGTAACAAATTGTAGTTAAAAGTGATACAGTTTGCACAAAAACATAAAGGGTTGTTGTAAAAAATGGCAATACATGTAAGATAAAACATTTGCTAGCTTAACTATTGCAAAAAATCTCAAAATATGTGTTCTATGAATTCAAGTTGATGTTTTTTGAAACCACCCCCACCCCCCCAAAAAAAAAATTGTCACCATCAATTACAATAGCAAAGAAGAGTGCTAGATCGATGAAGAGAGAGAGAGAGAGAGAGAGAGAGAGAGAGAGAGAGAGATGATGAAAGTAGGGATTGCAAGTGAGCGCTAGAGTGTGTTTGTGTGTGACTGAGAGAGATAGAGAGAGATAATGGGGATGACGTGATGAAATTTAACTCTTCTTTGCCATAAAAAAGATGCTTAACTTTCAAATAAATTAGGATTGTAATGCTCAATGAATGCTTTAGCATTGAAGGATTCATATCACTATTATTTACAACCCATATGCCCACAATATCTCCTATGTTCACATGTGATATGTCCGCAGCATCACTAATTTCTTCTATATATGGTATGTTCCTATCATAACCTACTAGTGAAAGATGACGAATTTATTAATATTTCATAACCATAATTCACACAAATATATATAGTTAAA